TAGAGAGTAAAAGAGGTGCCATTATTCTCCTCATCCGTCAAAAACAGAAGCCTTTCCACTTGTGTTTTAATGCTGGGCTTTGCTTGTTTAGCTTATGTTATAAGTGGTTACATTTTGATAAATAAAAAGATGCAATTAAACCAGACACGTTATAACCTAAATATACTAGATTTAACTACATGCATTGAAAAGTGTTCTGTGGCAGACGTTTGGTGATCTTGCGTCAGTAACTGGAGTGTTTGTATGTTTTGTGAAGCTTGTTCATGAGTGTCTTGTTTGTCCTGTTCATCTGGTTTGATGGTTGAGTTTCTAGTTAGTCCTGATCTGTTAAACTGCTTCATCTCAACAGCACATACTCCCACCTGACGCATGCACACATGTTTAACTGACTCCCTAAACTTTCCCAGGACTGCTGACACTGACTACAGAAAGAGCCATTATTCATAAGTCGTGTGTGGATTAAATTAGATGCACCACAGCAAGATAGAATACACTAATAAATAAAAGGGCAGTGCATCTGAGTCTTCAATGCACAACATGTGAGATTAACAACATTAATCATAAACAGTGGCATTGACTGAATGCACACAGAGAAAATCATACGTTTCTTTCACAGCACACTGAAGTCGGAGTAACATCTGGAGATGCTCAGCTGTTAATGAGCTTTGAATGCAATAACACAGTCACCGATCCTGAAGCGCTGAACCAGAAGAGGCTTTTCAGTCATAGTTTAGTCAGATAACACCGAGCCGTCTCGTAAACGTGGAGGACTTGCCAAAAAGTATAGTAGTTTATTTTATTAAGTATACTTAAGTACATTTCAAGTATATGTGTAAGTATACTGTATGTGTAAGTATACAGATATCAGTGCACTAGTAGTATTCTTGTAAGTGTACTATTGCAATACTCCTTGTGACTAAATTGGCCCACTTTCTAGTATATAAACGTATACTTTTAAGTATAACAGTAGTACAAACTCTGTTCACCATGCATCTGAAAATCATACTTTTCAGTTATTACTTTCACTCTCAATTTGACTAAAACCTGTTTGCCTGATGTAGTTTTATCTGCCTAGATCTCTTGCATTTAATCCACTCAACTTGTGTTAAGGTCCTTTGGACTTTTCTTTCTTTTCTTCTCACCTGTCGTATTAACAAAAGTAGACAGTCTGCATCACCTGATGGGGCGCTCTTTAGCACGAGCAGAAAGTGCTTCTCAAATCTGTCCTGGAGATCTTTGCATAATTTGTGTCTCTCTCTTCCATCTCACCTGATTCAACTCATCAGTAGAGACTGCAACCCGAATGTGTGTGTGCAATAAGGAGAACACACAAAATGTGCAGTTTGGGGCTATATATTCAATTAATTGACACTTACGCCAGTTATAAATGTATTTGAATTATGTAAAACAGACTTCTCAAACTCAAATTCTCACTGTTGCCACTGTGGAGTTAATGACAAATCATGAGAGTTTATTCGCCTAAACCAAAACCAAGTGGAAGCCTTTGGCCAGTGGCAAGAATAATCATTCATTGTGCAGGGTAAAGTAAACTAACCCTTGAATAACCTCTTCATTGGTGGACATTTTATTCCATAACGTTGCACAGTTTTGATGCTGTTTTATGTCTGATGATCGTGTGAGATTACACGTGGAAGCGTCTGTTGTTTCGGTTTCTTCTTCACTTGTGTTTGTTTGGATATTCTGTACAGAAGATGTGTACTAGCGCCCCCTACAGTATAACAATGAAAACACGGATTCTAGGAGCACAATTATACAGTAGCTCAAATATATTTAGACCTTTTCTAAGTATAAGTCCAGTATACTTAAATGTCATGTTAAGTATTCTTCTGAGAAGTACGTAAAAAGTAGACTAAAATGATACTTTCCTGTTTTTGGTTTAAAAGAAGAAAACTAATAGCACACTTGAATAAACTTTACTTTTGTAAGGGTTGTTGCAGCTAGTTTTCAGTATAATTCACTCATGAACGCAGTGGTGGCTCTGAAACCAGTTAATATCTGTTCCAGTTCAAATGAACAGCTAGTGTAATAATTATAAGTTATTGAACAGTAAATGACTCGTCACTGTATTAGCACATTCATTGCTCATAGGACAACAGATATTTTACAATAAGTGAAATATTATGCATTGTAAAATCACAACTGTACATTATGTTCTTGATATAAGTCACCTTTATTCATTCAGTACAGAGTGTGTCAAAGCAGCTTTACAGTGTTACACATGACAATAATGTCTCAAAGGTGCAAACAGCATTCAGCTCTGATGTAAAGCAGCTCTAGATAAAGCACAATAGTAAACATGAAATATGTGAAAGGATTTTAGTTTCCTCTCGCCAAAAACGTGGTCTTAAAGTCAAAATGCCAAAGCACTTGTACAAGTTAAATTCTGCCAAGATCTGTGCTTCAGGCATTCAGCTGTAGATGCATTCAATCTTATTTCCAGATATCTGTGTGGCTTTAATAAACGTGAACATTAGTATTGTCCTTGACGTATAGAGCAAGCTGGTCGTGTTTAAAGACTCTCACGTCATATAACTCATTAAATGAGCCTAACCCGGCAATCTGGCAGTGTTTGTTTCAGTGCTAATTATCTTCTTTATTGTTACTTATTTCAGTTTATTCATCATCATTAGGCTAACAAGATAAATGGTGAACAATGTTTGCGTTGGTCTGTGATTTCAGCAAGTCCAGCTAAACACAGAACAAGATTATGATTGTGAACAACACTAATCTAATGATGATGAGACATAATTGTGTTTGGATTTGTTGTATACTGCTTTGCTAAAGATACATTCTGAATGCAGAGGGACAGCAAGTGCAATAGTAATGTTGCTTTTTATTTAAATAAATGTAGCCACACATCAAACAATAACAGATACATCTCAAAGTAGCACACTGTGCATAATTAATAATCAGCTCTCTGGCTTCTACTGGAATAAATGTGTCCATACAACAGATAACAAATGCATCTCGTGTGTATATGATATAAATAAAAAACAGTGTCCAACAGCATTTTGTTTCACTAGATTACTAAATATTAAGCTGTTAAAACACTTGAAAATAATTAGAATTTACAGACCCACCACCAGAATCATAAATCTTTATATTTATTTATCTCTCTCTACATTCCTCTAAAAATAAGTGACCAATGTACCATGACTGAACTCTATTTATAACTAATAATTATCATCAACTTGTCTCCCCCCTTCCTTTCTTCAGAGCATAGAAACAGAGATATTAAGAAGACATGTAAGCATTTGTCCTGGATCAGCCGTCTGAGGACATTTGAGTTTCGGAGAGTCATTGCATCCCACAGTGACCTGCTCGAGCACTAAAGCACACGGTTCACGTGAGATCTCTGCAGAGACACTGAGAAGAAAACACAGTTGACTCAATACTACTGATCAGTGTTTGATGTATATGACAGTGTGTCATGAGTCTGAGATATAAAGTATTGCTGTACTTACAGTTCTCTTCATATCTGATGTTGTAGGCAACTGGTCCTCTGATATTGAAGCCCAGGTAGAAAGACACCTGGCCTGGTTTGCACGCACTGGACGGATCGTGAGGAGTGACTGGAATCTGCTGGCCATCTCTAACAGCAAACACTTCTTGATTCTTGACCTCTCCGTTGATACGCTGAAGACATTCAGTGTCTGCATTTCCATCCCCTTCAGTGAGGAGCTCCAGATTAATTTGATCTAGTTTTAATTCATGAACCAGTCTCTGCAATCCTTTCTCTTTCCCAAAGAAGAACAGAGGCACCAGGTAGCGGCCGCGGAGGTATTTCTGATACTTTCTCTCGTATGACTGACCCATGTATTGGACACAGTTTTCAAGGTTTGGAGGGTTTGTGATTCCTGGCTGTGCTTCATCGGGCCAAAAGAGCAAAAGAATCAAGAGGTAAAACTCTGGGCTTCTGTCTTGCATTTCTCTCAGCCAAAGTTTCTGTAACCTGGCCTGAAGCTCTTCTGCTTGTTCACGCTGCTCACCCGACTGACTCAAGACGATGTTGGCAAGAATGTAGAGAACGGTTTGGGTTTCATTATCAGATTGTGGATGTTTAAGTGCACGCTGATGTTCTTTAACCACATTGATGTCTGATTTTAGGAAATGAAGCAGTCCTCCAAAAGACTTCATCTTTTTCTCATTCAGGGTTGTTTCAGCAGTCTGTGTAAAATATTTCTTGTAGCAATTTTCGACATCTCTATGAATGTACTCTGGGTCCTCTTTTTCAAAGCTTGGTCTTGAGAATGCCAGATACCATTCAAAGAAATCATATCTAGACTCAACATCACCTCTGAGACCGCTGATGTAATTTAAGTGTTTACGACGCTCGTATGATTTTCCAAACCGTGTATCATTCATGATCTTGCAAACCTGGAGGAACCCTAAGAGCCCGCTATAACTGAATGTGGTGCGGTCTTCTGGGTCATTTTCAGCTGCTATCTCTTCTTTTTTAAATGCATCAGTGGCAGACTGTGCAATGGCCAAACACTTTTTAAAGTCTGAGGATGGATTTTTAGCTTCACTCAGCAGGTGGTTTTTGTGGACTTGCCCCAATGTGTCCCTAATACGAGAATTATTGGGATTTCGTTTAATGGCCTCTTCTGCCCATTTTTCTGCCTTTTCATATTTGTTGTCCTCTTTTACCTTAATGTAATAAAAACGTGCAAGTGTTTGGGGATAATAAGGGTCTGTGGAGAACAAATTTGCAGCCATCTCCAACAAATCAATGCATTGGTTATGATTATATCCACTTTCATGCATGATGTCAAGAATCAGTCTGGAAAACTGCTCCTTTCTTTTTCCTGTCTCAAGTCTTGTGATGAATATATTCTTGCAAATCTCTCCGTAATTGCTCTCCTTTCCTTTCACCATGCTGTTCAAGAAGTCGAGAGCGATGTCAGATCTTGTCACATTGTGCTCAGTGAACCGTTTTAGACAGGCATCAGCAATCACTCGATGAGCCAGACGAACACATCGGTCTTCTTGTTCTTCTGAGAAAATATCTATGAGATCCTCGAAAGGCTTCATTATTGTTTCCAGTTTGGGGTTGTCCTCATCGGACGGCTGTTTTGTTGGATCTATGAATTCCTCACAGACAAGCTTCGACAAGTGTGAACCTGGGACATACCAGTGTATCAAAGCCAAAAAACTGAGAAGTCTTGTGCTGCTGGACTTTGTGTCCTTTTCAATATGATTCACCATTTCTTCTGTGATCAGTTTCTCTGCATCCTCTTTCTGGAAACCTCCCTGCATGATGTTAAAGGCAAGACACTTCTGTGACATTTCCTTTTGTTCAATTTCAAGCCTTTTCTGTAATCAGAAAATCAAAAATAATGAAGAACGAGATAAGTAGCCTATTATTATAATGCAAGAATATCGACAAATAATGGCTTAATAAAAACAAAACAACAATTATAAAGGATTAGAGAAGATTACGCCTAGCAGAGGCCTGGAAGGTTTATTGGACGGTAACTAAAGAAACGTGACTGGGGCAGATATTAGACAAAAAATACTTGAGAGAGACAGACAGACAGACTTCATTTAAATCATTAAAATTAGTTTGAAGACCATTCCTTATACGTGTGTGTGACATTGCACTACTGCAAGTATTTTCTTCATTGAAATAATAATGTTATTTTGAAATGTTATTTTATTGATTCAATGTCATTACATTTATTTAAAATTAATTTCATTGATCAATTACCTATTAGTTGTCACGGTTTGGCAAAGGAGGACGAATGATGAATCATGAATAGGATGAAATCAATAACTAATATGCAGTCTTTCAGAAATACCTTTTCTATTTTTGATGACTTACAGAAAGTGAATGATTTAAATGATTTCTATCTAAGATTTGAGAAGCATGGGCATATCTCTGGGAATAGTATCATCATCAGATATAATCAAAGATAAGTTATTGATTCATCCGAAACAGATTCATTTCTATTTTAAACATATCTGTTCAAAGAAAT